GAAAAATAATAATAACAATAATCCTTGCATTTGATATAACACCTGATATGGTTTCGCCCAGAAAATATACAGTCAATTCACTTTACAGTATACTCTGTGAAGCGTTTTGAGACGTCTCAAACACGTGATAAGGCGCTATATCAAATGCAAGGATTATTGTTATCAGGTCGTTGAGACAACAACAGTAACTGGCATTTATATAGCATCCCTCAGGCAGGGTAGAGTCAGAGTCCCAGAGACGTCTCAAAGCGCTTCACACAATATACCCTAAAGTGAATTGACTGTGTATCTTGTGGGCGAAATATGTTAAGCGCTCTGGGACGCCACCCTGAGTGAGGGGTGTTATATAAATGGTGTTTAACAACTGGCAAACTAAAAAAAAAGCTATAAACCTTTCGCAAATATTTAATAGTCCCTTTGTTTACTTCTGCAATCTGCAATTGATTTTTTTCCTCCTCCGCCCCACAAAATAAATACCCTTGTTTAAACAGCGCTATTGATATCTGCTAGCCTGAGGACTTGAGTCAGCACAGAAAGTGATACCAGTACATACAAACATCAGCCCAGAGTGCTTCAGAGATTCCGCAATTTGGTTTTTCTTCTCTCTATGCATCTGAGTCGCTGAGACGTGTCCAAACACTTCACAGAATATCCACTAAAGTGGTTTGACTGCATTCTTTGTGGTGAAACATGTTTAACAACTCACGTATGAAAAAAAATCAAGGAGCGAGCTATAAACTCTCCTGAATGCAGTTGACTCCGCAATACATGAAGGGATACATGAAGTGATCTTCCAGTGCATCACTCAAGTAGCATTCTTAACATTACAATTTCCACTTATACTTGTGGAGTCCTGTAATGTATTGGTTAGAGCACTTGCCTCACAAACGAGAGGTCCTGAGTTCGACTCAAAGGGGCGAAACCTTAGGCAGGTTCCCTTACTCTACAAGCCTCTGTTTACCTAGTAGTAGGTAGGAACCGGGTTGTTAGTTGATTGGCGGATCTCTTTCAGGGGGTAATAATCCCTTAAAAAATATAGCAATAATTTGATCACTCAATCGATGACTACTTGTGGGACACTGTTGTGCGCAATTGGCTGCTATGTTTCGATCTCAAAATATACAGTATAATCTGTGAAGCGCTTTGAGACGTGATAAGGTGCAGTATCAAATGCAAGGATTAGTAGTATTATTATTATTACACAGTCCCAAAGCGCTTAGCCGTACTGGTTGGGCACCAGTGTTAAGGGTGGGAGCCGAAGGGCGATAAGGAGGGTTTAGACCCAAAATTTCACTCAGGCTCAGCCTTGGCCTGTCAGACCATTTCCACCTTGCAATTTCATATGGAATTGTGAAAAATTCCTAAATTCGGGCTTAATTTTGGAAGCCGGTTCTTCATAACAATTTAATAATAATAATCCTTGCATTTGATATAGCGCTTCATTACACCATTGAGACTTATCAAAGCGCTTCACAGGATATATTGTACAGTGAACTGTATATATTGACTGTTTTTTTATGGATCAAAGAATTTTTCGGGTTTCTAAGCTACTTAAATTTTATGACTGAAATGGGTTTGAACGGGCGGAAGGCTAAGACTGGATGGAATTTCAGGCCTGTGGTCTGGGTGCAATTGGCCAGACTGTGGAGAGGGTTCATTAGGTGATTTCCTGTTCATATAGACTCAGTCAACCAGGTGTCTGACCCCGACAATGGCAAAGACAAAGAAAATCAATGATGTGCATACAGTGAGGACCTGTTACTGTAGTCACAGCACGGTCACAGTGATCTCTCTCTCTCTGCATTTTCCTGGGACTTGACACACAAGCCCGCCTGCATTTCTCATTCATGTCGTAGTTTTCATGATGTTAATTATTCATAAAGGCCGAGTTCCATATTCATGATATATTTGGGATGTGATGCTCACACTTATTGTTTTACAACCACTTTTGGCCGGGGACAAAAGGCATCAATCTTATCAACAGCAATTTCTGATTCCCTTTCCCCACATAAAGACACCCCAAGGTTGCAATTTTGGCTATTTCAAAATTTAGAATGGAAAGGAGAGAGGCGATTCATTATTTTTAACCCGTTTCATAATGGGGCATCGGTTCACAGTATGAAAATCAACCCAATTTATCACAAACCAGCACTGAATTGGGAATAACAGAAAGGGGAGGTTGGGGGTAAAGAGGATCCAATTCACCTTAGGTTCAGTAGAGACTGTTCTGTACTGAACAGCTCCAGTGCCTCCAGACCTGAAAGGCGATGTGCAAATGTAATTTATTGTTGTTGTTCTTAATGAGGATGGACTCAAGATCCCACCCAGCCTCAGCCTCTACGAGTCCCAAGAATTTAGCAAAACTGTCAATTTGAGAACTAGGAAAAAAAATTGGACTCTGAAATATAAACTGCTTTGAGAGATGGTACCCAATTCTGTGCCATCTGAAATGTTAAGACTAAATGTTAAGTCTCATAGGTTAAGGTTAGATAAAATTACAGACTTATTACGAGCATAGAGTTGAGGGAGCTTTACTCTGCTTCTAGCCTGTACCTACGGTGAGATTGTTTGACACTGGGCCTGGATATAAGAGGCGGAATGGAATTTTGTCCTTTACCTCCATGACCAAATTAATAAATACTTCACCTCAGTGAGGGATGAGTGACAAGAGGTTTACTTTGATCAATCGCACCAACTGAACTGAGGTGCCTACCTCCCGTTTCGAGAGATTTCAACGATTCTAAATGTGCAAAATCATCCATCCTCAATGATTGGAGGCGCCTGACCTTTTGAAAATGAAATAAAATGCAGCCCTCATGCACAGAATCACAGAATTCTTGCAGGAATGGTATTAAGATGTACTTTATAGTATGTAATAATAATAATCCTTACATTTGATATAGTGCCGTATCACGTCTTCGAAACGTCTCAAAGTGCTTCACAGAATGTACTGTAAAGTGAATTGACTGTATATTTTGTGGGCAAAATGATCATTATTATTATTATAGTAGTATGTACATGTATAGTATAGTTTTTTGCAATTTAGAGAGAAACTAAGAACATAAGAAATGCTAGACGAAAAAAAGACCAAGGTCCATCGAGTTCGCCTACCACCTTCCTGGCGGTCATAAGCACATATGTCCTGTGTACTAATAAGATCAAGGAAAGAGGCGTTTCATCATTTTCAGCCCATTTTGTAATGGGACATCGGTTCACAGTATGAAAATCATCACAATTTATCACAGATCCGTGATCTGTGAGGAATCTTTTAACAGTCTGAGGCAGAACAGCAAGTGCCTTTGTCAGAACAATCTGTGAAAAAAACACCCATGCAAATTAAAATCCTAATGAAACCCAATACGTGAATTTGCCAGTGAAAAAAGGATTAAAAGCCAAGGTGAAGAGTAAGTGCTCTTTGAGAGCGAGAGACTCTGATAAGTTTAACATTATCTGCTTTAGAGAGTAAAGATGGGTTCCTGTGGGACAGAGGTTCTGCCTCGCCTGCTAAAACAGCGAAGAGCACTTATTATCCTGGACTGAGAGAGAATAAAGAGTGCAGGAACACGAGACGGTGGTATTCTCTGTCCGACATGCAACCTAACCAACTACGGTGACGGCTGAGAGAGTTATCAGGGCAACTAAAGGCATCTCTAGACAATTACCTTTCTCCACTGACCAACACCACATTAAAAATAAGATATGCTTTGCTCTTAAGAAACTGGCCGGATGATAGAATTGAGCATTATTCATGAATGAAACCAAAAAAAATTGAGAATAACTTATACGGACTGAAGAATAAAGCCAGTATGTGTTTTGTGGAGTCCTGGGTGTAGTAGTTAGCATGCTCGCCTCGCAAGTGAGAGAGCTCAGGTTCGGTTCCCGGCGAAAACGTAGGCAAGTTTCCTTACTCCACGCGCTTCTGTTTGCCAGCAATTGGTAGGATCCCGGTTGTTAGTCAATTGGCAGATTATTACACCCTTTCCAGGAGTAATAATCTCTTCAAAAATAATAATAATTTGGTCACTCAATCCAGGACTGTTTGTGGGATACTGCTGTGCACAATTGGCTGCCATGTTTCACCCACAAAACACACAGTCAATATATTCTGTGAACTGCTTTGAGATGGGTGCTATACCTAACCAATTCGCTACAGGGCTCCACATCCCTCCAGAATGCTCGCCCGACGGTCCACTCATCACAGCATTAAGCTGCTTTTTCAATGGGTCCCAGCATCACCCACCTTTCCTACTGAAGAAGCACTGAACACTTGTTTCTTTACAAAGTGCCATGCCCAGCAAAGACTTTGCATCAGATCCAAGCTGGTCTGTGCTTAATAATTACAAGCTATTGATTCAAAAGTCAACGGATGGAGTATTAACCCTTTCATTCAGCTGAGTATTCCTTCAGAAGTGTTGGGAGGAGAGAGAGGATACACACAGTTCTATTCCCTTGGTGATATCTGCACTGGTATCTGCATGTTGTTATATATACACAGAATCTCAAACAAGCTGCATAATACTGTGAAATTCTGTGATTTGAAGGTAAAAATCACCCTCGATAATAGATGCCATGCATTCTGTGCAATACACAGGGGGTTTAGCTGTCAATTTAGCCACTGACTGGCAAGTTTGTGGAGTTTTAGCTCAATGCTGTGTTCAAGAACCATTTGGCTTTGAAGATTGAAAGATCAATCATCATATTCAAAGATTAATGTCAAGGCGTTTACAGTATTGGATTTCCCCCTCCCCCCTATCCATGCATAATCTTTACCATGAAAGCAAAATGCAGCTCAAAAGGTGTGAGGAGCAAACAAAATGAGCTTTTCCAAGCTTTAATACTGCAGGATGTTAGCACACAGCCAGGTCACACATCTAGTGGATGCAGGAGTCCTTGTGAATTCCTGTAGCTCAATGGTTAGCACGTTCACCTCGCAAGCGAGAGGGTGTAGGTTCAATTCCCAGGCAGAGTGAAACCTTAGGCAAGTTTCCTTACTCCACACGCCTCCGTTTATCTAGCAGTAAATAGGAACCCGGTTGTTAGTCGATTGGTGGATCACTTTCTGGAGGTAATAATTGTCTGGGGGTAATAATTTTTTTAAAATTAGTCATTTGGTCAATCAATCCACGACTGTTTGTGGGACACTGCTGTGCACAATTGGCTACCGGGTTTCGCCCACAAAAATATACAGTCAATTCACTTTGCAGTGTATTCTGTGAAGCGTTGTGAGACGTCTCAATGACATGACAAGTCTCTGTATAAAACATAAGGGTTACTATTATTATTTGAAGGACAGCGCCTCTGATTATACAGCTCTTTCCACCACCCCCACCCCCCCAGCAACACACAGAAACGCCAGCCTAGACTCCGAGCTCAAGAATCACTTCACTAATCACTAATGCATTTTCCTGGAGGGGTGACTGAGAGAGACATGGTAACCATAGGAACAATATTGATGCAGTGTTGGGTCTGAAATTCAACATTTGACAGACCCTTAGGGAAAGTGAAGAGGAGAGGGCAAGAGCAGGAGTAAAATTGTGATACTCAAATAAAAAAAACTCACCTTGAGATGGCAGCAAATCTTGGATAGCCTTCAGCAGCTCGCAAGCTGATATGAGCCTGATGGATATTTGAGCCATTTCTGTGGCAGCAATTCTGAGATGATAGATTCCTCGTAAAAAAAAATGGAAAAATTAATATAATTTTCCATCTCCGACTGGTGTGTGAAATCGTTCTAACCTCCCCCCAAAAATGGCTTGTTATCTGAAACAGTAAAGGATACCTAAAAAAAAAAGCAGCGAATAATATTGGCCTGCGCATTTTAAAATAATCAGCGACACATTATCTTGGGTCAATAAGTATTATCTGTACTTGTTTTCATTTGGAAAATTATCTGCAGCCTTTTGTTCTTGAATTTGCTTTGCAGTGAGGCGCTGAGCCAGTAGTAACACCGATAGAGCGATTTAATAAGAACATGTCAAAGAGTGGGCGAGGGAGAGAGTGTGTGGTGGGGGTGGGGGGAGAGCGGGAGGTCACATGATTAAAATATATCTCTACCCATCTCATACCTCACCCATCACCTTCTTCATCTCAAAGCTTTCTGATCTCCTCGTGCAGACGCCCACACTATCTGCCTCCAGCATCTCCTCAGGCAACCCTCCACGCACCCACCACATCGTGTGAAGCGTTACAAGCAACAACAACATACAACAAGAACTCGCACTTATTAATTAAAGGTTTGAATCAAAAGTCCTTACTTGTAAGCCTGATATGAGATGCTCACGCTGGTGGCCATTTTAGATGTTTACACGCATCAACTCAGTGACAATAATTTCCACGAAAACGATATGAAAGACATCTCCTGTAATAGCTCCGTACTCTCTACCCATGTTGTCTTGAAAAAAAGAAGTCACCTTTACGAGTAAGGACTTTTGATTCACCCCCGTGTAGTGCACAGATCCTGGTCCTCACATACAAAGCCCTCCATGGCCTTGCCCCACCCTACCTCTGCGACCTCCTAACCCCCTACCAACCCGCCTGTTCCCTCCGCTCAGCCGGCTCCGGCCTGCTCCACGTCCCCCGACCCACCAACCCCACCATTGGTGGGAGATCCTTCAGCCACTCTGCCCCCAACCTCTGGAATTCCATCCCCCAGTCACTCCGCCTCGCCCTGAGGAATGCCGCAGCGGGCTAGAGGAGAAACCGTTTGTGGAGATGAAGTGGAGGTGGTGCGAGAGGTACGATCTGAACCAGTCGAGGACAGAGCCGTGAAGGTTGAGATGAGAGGAGAGGCGGTGGATGAGTATAGAGCGGTCAACGGTGTCAAAGGCAGCAGAGAGGTCAAGGAGGACGAGGAGGCAGAGGGAGCCCTGGTCGCAGATAGACAGAATGTCATTTGTCACTTTGATCAGGGCGGTTTCTGTGCTGTGGGCGGCGTTTCTCAGGGCTCTGCCCTTGGTCCCTACTCTTCAATATCTATATGCTCCCTCTTGGTGACATCCGCAGATATGGGGTCAACTTAGCTGTACCTCTCTGCCTCCAGCCTTGACTCCAGGACCACTGCTGTCCTGACAGAATGTCTGTCAGACATCAAGTCCTGGATGAGAGCTAACTTTCTTCAGTTGAACCTCAACGAGACCGAGGCCCTCCTGATTGGCTCCCGGGAGCACAGAAACCCAATCGGAAGGGTTCATGAAGTGAATGGCGGGAGAGGAAGGAGCAAACCTGGGAAGCAACAACTCATTCCAGGACCCTGGAGAGGAAAGGAAGGTTGGAGATGGGGCAGTAGTTTGAAAGTAGAGATGGGTCCAGGGAGGGTTTTTAAGGATAGGAGTGATGTCGGCAGTTTTTAAAGGGGTGGGAACAGTGCCACAGGACAGAGAGAGGTTTATAATGTCAGTGAGTAGAGGGGCAAGGAGGTGGAGCTGGGAGGTAAGGAGAGGGATAGGATTGGGGTCGAGAGAGTAATAATAATAATAATAATAATAATCCTTGCATTTGATATAGCGCTTTTCACGTCGGGAGGACGTCCCAAAGCGCTTCACAGAACACACTGTAAAGTGAATTGACTGTATATTTGTGGGCGAACGCGGCAGCCAATTGCGCACAGCAATGTCCCACAAACAGTCGTAGATTGAAAATGACCAATTTATTATTATTTTGTTTTTTTGGAGGGATTATTATTAGGCGTGTGGAGTAAGGAAACTTGCCCTAGGTTTCGCCCTGACTGGAATTGAACTCAGGTCTCTCACTTGCAAAGCGAGTGCTCTAACCACTGAGCTACAGGACTCCACAACCATGTGCACTTACCGGCCAGCTGCAATGAATCGCGGGAAACATAGTCTTGAACCATTGCCTGATGCGCAAAAGAACTTCCATTTCCTGCGATTCAATGCTTGCTGGTAGGTGAGTAGGTGGTCGGTTTCATGCGGGTTATAGTGGTGGTGAGAGAGGAGTGGGAGACAGGTTCAAAGGTGTTAAGGGAGGGATGGTTCAGGGCTGGAGTGGGAGGGAGAGATAGGGAGGGTGTAGTACAGAAGGGTAGAGGCAGCTGAGCGGATCCCCTCGACTTTGGATTCAAGGAAGTCCAGCATCACTTCGTCTGTGCTTTAAGGGAGGGGAGGTGGCTGGTGTACCATGGTGGCTTACGTGAATAGGAGATGGTTCAGGAAGAGAGGGGAGAGAGGGAACCAAGAGCAGAATCAAGAGTGGAGGAGAGGGAGCTGTGGAGAAGAGTGATTGAGGAGCCAAGGTCATTGTGGGAGGAAGCAGAGGGGAAGGAGTTCAGATGACTCCAAGGCAGCCGAGAGGTAGGGGGTGAAGAACTTTTTCCAGGGGCGGTAGGAGATGGAGGTGGGTTGGGTGACAGTGGGGAGAAAGACTGAGGGGTTAAGGGAGATGAAGTGATGGTTCGAGATCGCTTTGTTGATGATGGTGAGGTCCGAGAAGGTGAGGCCCCGAGTGATCACCAGGGGGGATGACCGCGGACGTGGGTGACGGAGTGGATGTGGAGGGAGAGGTTGAGGGAGTAGAAGTCAGCAAAGGTAAAGCAGGAGGGGATGAAGTGAAGGTTGAAGTTGCCTAGGATGACACCACAGGAACCTGAGCGGCAATGATTAGCTTGGAGTTGCTATGGTTATGGCTGCCGTCCTTGGTATCCAAACCATCCCACTTGCAGTGAGGAAACTGCTTTTACTCTGGTTCTGGGTCGCTAGCATTTTGCCAGCATTGACCACCCATCTCTGTGTCGCCCTGAGATGATGGTGGTGATGTGGTCCTTTCTCTAACCTGCTGTAGGCAGCAACAACAGCAACAACAACTTGCATTTATGTAGCGCCCTACATAGGGTAGCATTCCAGAGGGGTAAGATAAGTTGGAGGTAGGCAATGTGGCAGAAGTGAAGGAAAGTGGTCCTGGACAGAGACCGGATGTGGAGTAGGAAGGACAGAAAAAGGAGAACGATACGGTGGAAATACAGACCTTGTGGTGATGGCATTCCTGCAATGGGTGTAGTGGGGAGGGGGAGGGCGGTTGTAGGGTTTCAAACCTCTGATGATAAAGGAAATGCAATGGAGAGTCTTAAAACTTTGGTCACATTATTACCTCACGCTTGATCAAATGCCGCAAATCTTTGCCTCTTTGTTCTGTAGGAGTCCTGTAGCTCAGTGGTTAGAGACACCTGGGTTCAATTCCAGGCAGAGCGAAACCTTGGGCATGTTTCCTTACTCCACACAGAGCCTAATAATAATCCCCCCAAAACCCAAAACAATAATAAATTGGTCATTTTCAATCCACGACTGTTTGTGGGACACTGCTGTGCGCAATTGGCTGCCGCGTTTCGCCCACAGCTATACAGTCAGTTCACTTTACAGCATATTCTGTGAAGCGCTTCGAGACGTCGAGAAGACGTGAAAAGCGCTATATCAAATGCAATGATTATATATTATTATTTGTCTTTTTTCAGAGAAAAAAAAACTTTCCAAAGACCTGTGTTGTTTTTTTTTCTGGGTTGCAGATATTAGATATGGATGACGTGCTCTTGACAAGGGATGGGAGAGGAGAGAGAAATGTTTCCTTTAAAACAAGGTGCAGATTTAGCACGAATCTTCTTAACAATCACACGTGACAAACATCTTATGCTCCTGTCTCTCAGCTGACAGCGACCCTCTCAACAATTGCAACTTGTTTTTTTTTACTGCTTAGGATTCCGGAGTGTGGCTGCGCAATTTGTTCTCATTTATATTCTTGGACAGACAACTACTTTTCTGTACTCAATATTAATTAAATATCAAAGTCTTATCAGTATTACCCGCAGGAGATGGAGAACAGATGGACTGGCTGTACATTTATTTTGTACATTGATCCCAACATTCAAACTCTCATTTATCCTTCATGCATTATTTATTGCAACACCCTGCAACTCACACCTGCAAGTCTAATCCTCGGCTCCCTTTTAAAAGAAAATATTTAGCCGGTTATGACGGATCTGCATAAAATATACAGTAACCGTAATCACTTTGCATTCCTGCTTCGAGTGTTTAAATGGAGGGAAGAGAACAGAGCTTCTCAAACAAATTAATAGATGCTTGTGGTCTCCTATGCTTGAGTGTTGTATACTCTTAAGGAATGCTAAGAGTTTTAGCTCAGAGAGGGATTAGTGGAGACGGCAGTGATTTCTGAATGCACAGGGACAGATCAGCCCTGCTGGAGTTGAGAGGTGGTGGGGGAGCGTGAGGATGAAATAAGAATATAAGAATTTGCTAGACGTCCCAAAGCACCTCCCTGCAGGGAGGGAGCAAGCATTCCTTTCCAGACACAGGGAAATAAATGTCCATGCATAGGTGGCATAGATACATCTCAATTATTATCTCAATCTAGTTTGGATCCTCTTAAGCATGGCGATAGGTTTCCATGTGTCAGACACCTGGCTGACCAAACAAAATACCTTGAGCCAGCGGTAATGAAAGGCTTGGTTTTTTGATACATATTGAAACCCAAGTCTAAAAAAATACGCAGGAGTCCATCTCCCACTCGTCAGACAAATCACAAATCAAGACCACAGCCTTGAACCCTACCAGGTTTTGTTGTAACGAAAAGCGAATATTTTGTTCGAAAAGTAACTAATCTTTTAACGGGTAGTAAAAAAAGAAAAACATTTTAAGCATTCCCATA